GCCACCTTGCCACCAGTAAGCTGGATAAATAAATCGAAATTATAGACCAATTTATAAACATGAGTTGTCGAACATCGTCGTTGGTCGTTGGTCTTTTCGTGCGCCTAATGAAGGGTTCTGCTCGAAAATCGCTGAACCCCTTGGAATGAGCTCTCCATCGATCGTTTTTTCTTACTTCGCTTTTTTTTCGGGGCCCCTAAAGTGGGTATTAGCAAAATGCTGAAAAATTGCGACCTCGAAAACGAAACGAAATGAAATGAAATCTTTAGCACAAAACGCCGAAAGAGGCTGACAATTAGAATTGTCTGGCTGGTTTTTTATGTTTAGCCATGATTATAGGTTGTGCTGTTCTCTGTGGCATTTTGGCTGAGCAACATGAATTGGTATTTTTCACTTTTGGAGGCTTTTTTCTTGAAGCTTTTTCCGCCAACTCAGGGGTTTTTGTGTGTGCTCCGGTCTTGGGCATTCGTTTATAAAATTATAAAAATATTTAAATTACTCATAAGTAGTTAGGAAGTGGGCGATTACATAAATATCGCTGGGCATGCAAATCGCTTCGGTCTGTAGTTTTTTCTTTTCGGAATACTTTCAAATACCAGGTAGCCAAAAACACAGCCATAAGTTTTCGGCCAGCCTCTAAGAGCGAGAGACACATGGCCGGGCGCATAAATCAAACCACCAATAAATACTTGCGGCCGAGATTCTCCATAGCCACGGAGCAGTAAACGCGTAATTAACCCCATTCTCCGCGAAGGAGCGGAGAAATATGGCACAATAGTTAATGCACATTAAAGCTCATATATCAACCCCTACACAAATCAATGGGGTTGGGGAGGCAATAGCCTTAGCAGCCTTTGGCACGGCCTCAAATGCTGGCAAGCCACTCGAGCCGGCGAAGCTAGCACAATGCAGCAAAAGTATCTTTAAGATGCACTTGAGCGGTCGTCGGCTTCGCGCATCTCGTTACTCACATATTCCTCCACCGATGCGGATGGTGCATATATATATTTTATAAAATATCGCATGGCATATAAAAATGCCTGGCATTGTTTCACCATCGACGTGTGGGCGCATTACTGAGCCCGCATATCAAATGAGTCCTGAGTTCGAGACACAAAACAAAAACAACGGCAGCAATAGCAAATCACACTATCGAACAAGAATTTATAAGAAACATGAATTCCAAGCAGACAGACAGGCGAATGTATAAGATAATAACTGATGGGGATTCGGAGATATGTGATCGAAGATAAAATCTATGTTTGCCCAAAATAAATTAGTCAAAATTCCCCTTTCTAGGGGACTTTGAGGTAAAAAACGGACTGAAGTCATCAATGGAATCTATAATATTTTTAATAAACGCAAGGTTATTATGTTTTATAGACAGAGCAACTATTTCAGGAATTTGTTGTGCAGTTTAACCGCTGTGGAGGCGGCAATAATGTAATGCAAGTGCGCCTGACAGCTGCCAGCAGGATGACTCCTTCGATGGGGATTTTCCAGCAGCGGCAGGAGCAGCTGTATCCATTGCTGTCACACGCACTTTCCACTCAGCCACATCCATTGATGGTCTTCTTATACCCGGGTTCATTCATTAAAGCTCCAGCAATGATATTCATAACTGCCGTTTTTCCACTGCCATGGCAATTTTCTATTGCACCAAAAGATTATGAAAATTTTGGCCTCAAAAAATCGGGCATTCGGATTCGGATTCGCAACAGCAGCGACAGCAGCAGCGCAGCAAAATGGAAAATAACTGAAATCACAAAACAAACTCGGTGCGCAAACATAAATTATGCATTACAAACGTGCTTCTGACCCATTGCCATTTTCTAATTCAATTAAAATGGTTTTTGTTTTTGTTTCTCCAGTTGCTGTTGTTCGTTCGGGCGGCATTTGAATACGATTTCCCAAGGAGCGGAGCGGGAAAGTTTCTCAAAAGGCCGCTGGGAAAGTTGGAGCAGCGCATCCAGGCAGCCAGGCACTAATTTGACATAGTTATGCGAGTCGAAATGAAAGCTGCAATGAGGATTTTGGATTTTGGCCGTGGCCAACGCGCCGTATGAATAATATTTAAGCTGTTGCAGTTGCCTCTGACGCAAACAAACATTAGGCCTCTTTTATGGAGGCCTCCTGCAAGGCGCTTTTGGCCAGGCAGGGACACGAAATGGCCATAATGTCCGGGAAATCTTAACTACATTTTGCTAAAAAAAATTTTAAAGAGTTAAGTAGTCAAAAACACCTAATATTTGGACCATTCAGTTTAATCTGTTTTAAAACTATATAACAAGTTTACTTGGCAAGCTCTATAGTTATTTCGGCTAGCGTCCGCCTGAAGAGACACGAAGAGGGTCGACGACACTCATATGACACAGTATGCCACAAAGTTGCCGGCACATGTCGAGTTAATGAAATTTAAAAATTCATAAAATATTCGCACCACTAGGCAAACAGCAGTAAGAACCTCGTTGGCAACATCTACAATCCCGGCAGCAGCAGCAACGGCAAAGGGGAAGTGTAACTCAATTAATTAATAACAATATACCAACAGGAACAGGAACAGCAGAAGCGGAAACATTAACAAGAACAACAAACAAAATAATTAAGTAACAAAAGTTTCATATTTGCAGCGCCGCAAAAACAAAACGGGACAAAAACGCAGCAGCAGCAGCAGCAGCAGCAGGAGCAACAGCAACAGCAACAGCTACTAGAGCGGCAGCAACATCGGGAGTGGAAAAGCCGGGCAAAGTTTCCACAGCTCCGCAGTTCGAGTTATTTTTGGGGGGGAAAGTTGTTGCTCTTGGCGGAAAGTTTTTTAATGTAATTTTAAGTGGCATAAGTCGACAGCCAAAAAAGCAAGCCAGGTGATAGAGACCTGCGAAATTAGAACGGCGAACACAAGTGACACTAAGCAGTCCCACATTGGACATTTCCTCCGCAAAACCCGAGTTGGCATAATAGTGGCATTCAAACTGTAATATTGCTACTGCCGATGGTGTTGCCTCGGTTGCATGCAGCACTCATATGCGATATTTATGGTCTGCGGAGCGAGCAGCAGTAGCTGCGAGTAAATAAACCTGAAAATTATGATGAGGCAAATGGCAATGGCAATAAAGAGCACCAACAAGTTTCCATGAACCACTCAAAGTGCCAAATATGTGTGGCTTTTGCTGTGCAGAAAATAGTTTCAGCACTTGAAACTGCGGCGAAGTAAAACTGCAAACATAGCCATAATGGCGTTTTCAATTCTAAAAAATAAAAAACGGGATTGACAGGAGTTTTTACTCCGTTACAAGCAGCTTAAAAACTGAGTAAATCGAACTCCCACTAAGAAGCAGCAGCTACAGCAGCAACTGAAACTGCAGCAACACACACTACAAATATTGCTAAAATATATTTAGCATACAACCATAGATTAGGCATTTTACGACAACAAAACACTCGGGCGAAGAGAACCGCAGAAAACGTGGCCAAAAGCACCAAAAGCACTAACAGCAATCGCAAACGGCAAAGGCAATTGCAATTGCAACGGCAACAACAGCAGCAACATCGGCAGCTGTTAAGAGCCAAGCAGCATGCAACATGCTGAAACTGAGGCAACTTACTACACTATATACATGCAACACATATCGCGAGTGCAACACGAGGCAGCCAAACGAACTGAGCCGAGCCAGAGAACTTCCACCGAAAGGGGGCGAAATGTTGCCAGCCAGCAGCAGCCTGTTGCCGGTTCTATTTAACCCTCTGAAGGATCTAGGTGCCCCAAAGGGATTTTCCTTTTAAACATTAGGAGTTAAAGGTCTTATTGTTTTCAAAATGTATGACAATTGAAGTACAATTAAAGGAATATTTTTCACATTATTTTCCTAAATAACCTTTTTTAAGAAACATCTAATAAATCCTAAGTTATTTTCTGCTAAATACTTTGAATATTGCTTTCAAAATGGATCGTATTTTTTATAGTCCCCCACAATATATCCCATTTAAAGCTGATCGGCTAATTCCACAGTAATTCCCGCTTAAAGCCGATCCAATAATCATGGGGTAACCACAGATAAGAGCTCTGATGGCTGATAACCCATCTTAACCCCAATGGAATTATTCCATTTCCCAGTGCTAATTGTGTGGACAGAAAATCGGTGGAGAGAGAGGGTTAAGGCTAACAATTTTCCTCCCGCTTCCATGTGTTGTGAGTGTGCAACATTTCCCCTACTTTCAGCGAGAGCGAGAGAGAGAGAGCAGGCAGCAGCCAGCTCTCTCATGCATTGTGTGTGTGTGACATATGCAGAGGGCAGGAAATGCAGCCCCGCGTGTGTGTGTGGGAGCGGAAGAGAGTGAAAGCAGCGCAGCGGCAGAGCCACTGCATGTGTGTGCTCTAGGGCGGACCACATTTGTAAGGAAATTTTTAAGGTTCTACTCTCACCCGCCTGCAGGGTATGCATTAGGGTATTTAATGAAAACCAATGTATATTCTTTGAAAAAACGTGATTAAGAGTCTGTTAATTAGCCTCAAATTTTATCACTCATACGCACTGTTGCATTCGATCAAAAAAAATGTTTAGTCTTTTTAACCAATTATTTCAACAAAATCCAAATCTGGACAAGACTAGAAATGGGAGACCAATTTTTTTTTGATCATATTCGAACTGTTATACGTGTCGTATAAGTAGTATTAAAGCAATCTTTGAGGACCTTTCGCCAGGTCTAAATCTGGAGAAAAAAACTTTTAGTTTTTACTTATATTTTTAGTCACTTTAGTGTACTATTAGGAGGTGGAATAGGACTTAATTTTTTGGGCCGCCCTAGTGGGCTCGCTCGGGAGAGTGCATTCCCGCATGCACATGCACATGGACATACACCGTGTTGTCTGTCTGCCGCCATGCCGGCTGTGTGTGTGTGAGCGCTGCCACGAGGCAGCGGCAGCGCAGCGTCGTCGGTTTCACATTTTCAACGAACCAACGGAGTCGAGATGGCCAACTCCAGCCATCAGTTGAATTTTGAACGCTCGGCGGTAAACATGCTTTAAGAAAACGAGCTCTCGCCGAATGAAGAACGAAGTCGAACCCACTGAGTCGCGCCAAGTGCCAATTTCAAAATAAATAGCAAATAATCAGTTTACCAACTGCGAGTTGGAGAAGAAAAATCACAAATCTAAAAATTACACAAAACGAAAACAAAAGTGAAAAATCGCAAAACGCAAGCCAGCTCACTCCAGGATTACAGGGCAATCGGGCAGCGGAAAAAGCGATCGAAAAATGAAAACCAGAAAGTGACCGAGTTGTGCACCACCACCGCAACCCAAAACCACCCACGGTTAAAAACGCCGTTAAATAGAAATAAAAGAAATTCATTTCGAGTTCAACCAAAAGCCAACTAGCAAATCACCAAAATGCCAGCCACATCTTCCATCGTCATCACAATTGCCGCTGCCTGCCTGTTGCTTCTGGTGGCCTCCACTGCGCATGCGCAGCAGCAGCAGTGCAACTGGCAGTACGGCCTCTCCACCATGGACATCCGGTGCAGTGTCCGTGCTCTGGAGTCCAGCCCCCTTGACCTCCAGGTAGCGGAGACGGCCGGCCGTCTGGAGCTGCAGTGCAGCCAGGAGCTGCTCCACGGCAGCGAGCTGTCGCCCGGGCTCTTCCGGCAGCTGCAGAAGCTCTCGGAGCTGCGGATCGACGCCTGCAAGCTGCAGCGAGTGCCGCCCAGCGCCTTCGAGGGCCTGATGTCGCTCAAGCGGCTCTCCCTGGAGTCGCACAACGCGGTCTGGGGACCGGGCAAGACGCTCGAGCTGCACGGCCAGTCGTTCCAGGGCCTGAAGGAGCTGTCCGAACTCCATTTGGGCGACAACAACATCCGGCAGCTGCCCGAGGGCGTCTGGTGCTCCATGCCCAGCCTGCAGGTGCTTAATCTCACCCAGAATCGCATACGGTCCGCCGAGTTCCTGGGCTTCTCCGAGAAGCTCTGTGCGGGCTCAGCGCTGAGCAATGCCAATGGAGCGGCCAGCGGCGGTTCGGAGCTCCAGACTCTGGACGTTTCCTTCAACGAACTGCGCTCCCTGCCCGACGCCTGGGGAGCATCGCGACTGAGGCGCCTCCAGACCCTCAGCCTGCAGCACAACAACATCAGCACCCTGGCCCCCAATGCCCTGGCCGGTCTGGGTTCCCTGCGTGTGCTGAACATCTCGTTTAACCACCTCGAATCCCTGCCCTCGGAGGCGTTCGCCGGCAACAAGGAGCTGCGGGAACTGCATCTGCAGGGCAACGATCTGTACGATCTGCCCAAGGGACTGCTGCATCGTTTGGAGCAGCTGTTGGTTCTGGACCTCAGCGGCAATCAGCTGACCAGCCACCACGTGGACAACAGCACCTTCGCCGGTTTGATCCGCCTGATTGTGCTGAATCTCTCGAACAACGCCCTCACTCGCATTGGAGCCAAGACCTTCAAGGAGCTGTACTTCCTGCAGATCCTGGACATGCGCAACAACTCCATTGGACACATCGAGGAGGGCGCCTTCCTGCCCTTGTACAATCTGCACACCCTCAATCTCGCCGAGAACCGCCTGCACACCCTGGACAACCGCATTTTCAACGGACTGTATGTGCTGACCAAGCTCACGCTGAACAACAACCTCGTGAGCATCGTGGAGACACAGGCCTTCCGCAACTGTTCCGACCTCAAGGAACTGGATCTCAGCTCCAACCAGCTGACCGAAGTGCCCGAAGCTGTGCAGGATCTGAGCATGCTGAAGACACTCGATCTTGGGGGAGAACCAGATCTCGGACTTCAAGAACAACACGTTCCGCAATCTCAACCAGCTGACGGGTCTGCGATTGATCGACAACCGCATTGGCAACATCACCGTGGGCATGTTCCAGGATTTGCCAAGGTTGAGTGTTTTGAATCTGGCCAAGAACCGCATCCAGAGCATCGAGCGGGGAGCCTTCGACAAGAACACCGAGATCGAGGCGATCCGTTTGGACAAGAACTTCCTCACCGACATCAACGGCATCTTCGCCACCCTGGCCTCCTTGCTGTGGCTCAATCTCTCCGAGAATCACCTGGTGTGGTTCGACTACGCCTTCATCCCGTCGAACCTCAAGTGGCTGGATATCCATGGCAACTACATCGAGGCCTTGGGCAACTATTACAAGCTGCAGGAAGAGATCCGAGTGACCACGCTGGATGCCTCGCACAATCGCATCACCGAAATTGGAGCCATGTCGGTGCCGAATTCCATTGAGCTGCTGTTCATTAACAACAATATCATTGGACAGATCCAGGCCAACACCTTTGTGGACAAGACGCGACTGGCCCGCGTGGATCTCTATGCCAATGTGCTGTCCAAGATCTCGCTGAACGCCCTGCGTGTGGCCCCCGTTTCGGCGGAGAAGCCCGTGCCCGAGTTCTACCTCGGGGGAAATCCCTTCGAGTGCGACTGCTCGATGGAGTGGCTGCAGAGGATCAACAACCTGACCACCCGCCAGCATCCCCATGTGGTGGATCTCTCGAACATCGAGTGCCTGATGCCGCACAGCCGCAGTGCTCCTCTGCGTCCGCTGGCCACCTTGGCCGCCTCGGACTTCGTGTGCAAGTACGAGAGCCACTGCCCGCCCACCTGCCACTGCTGCGAGTACGAGCAGTGCGACTGTGAGGTGATCTGCCCCGGCAACTGCAGCTGCTTCCACGACGCCACCTGGGCCACCAATATCGTGGACTGTGGCCGCCAGGATCTGGCCTCCCTGCCCAGCCGCATCCCCCTGGACGTGAGTGACCTCTACCTGGACGGCAACAACATGCAGGAGCTGGAGGTGGGCCACCTGACCAATCGTCGCAATCTGCGAGCCCTCTACCTGAATGCCTCCAATCTGATGACCCTCCAAAACGGCAGTTTGGCCCAGCTGGCCAATCTGCGAGTGCTGCATCTGGAGAACAACAAGCTGACCGCCCTGGAGGGCACCGAGTTCCGTTCGCTGGGACTGCTGAGGGAGCTCTATCTGCACAACAACATGCTGACCCACATCTCGAACGGCACCTTTGAGCCCCTGGTCTCGCTGGAGGTCCTGCGCCTGGACAACAACCGCCTGAGCTCGCTGCCCAATCTGCAGTACCGCCACAGCCTGCAGGGCCTGACGCTGGGCAGGAATGCCTGGTCGTGCCGCTGCCAGCAGCTGAGGGAACTCGCCCAGTTCGTCTCTGACAATGCCATGGTGGTGAGGGATGCCCACGACATCTACTGCCTGGATGCGGGCATCAAGCGGGAGCTGGAACTGATCGGCAACCTGGCCAATGGACCCGACTGCTCTGAACTACTCGATGCCAGTGCCAGCAACATTAGCTCCTCGCAGGATCTGGCTGGAGGCTATAGGTTGCCCCTGCTGGCTGCCGTCCTCGTGCTCATCTTCCTGGTCGTCATCCTAATCATTGTCTTCGTCTTCCGCGAGAGCGTTCGCATGTGGCTGTTCGCCCACTACGGAGTCAGGGTTTGTGAGCCTCGCTTTGAGGATGCCGGCAAGCTGTACGACGCCATCATCCTGCACTCGGAGAAGGACTACGAGTTCGTGTGCCGCAACATTGCCGCTGAGTTGGAGCACGGTCGACCGCCCTTCAGGCTGTGCATCCAGCAGAGGGATCTGCCCCCGCAGGCCTCGCACCTTCAGTTGGTGGAGGGAGCCCGGGCCTCGCGAAAGATCATCCTGGTGCTGACGCGCAACCTGCTGGCCACCGAATGGAACCGCATCGAATTCCGCAACGCCTTCCACGAGTCGCTGAGGGGACTGGCCCAGAAGCTGGTGATCATCGAGGAGACGAGCGTGTCCAGCGAGGCCGAGGATGTGGCCGAGCTGTCGCCCTACCTGAAGTCCGTGCCCTCGAACCGCCTGCTCACCTGCGACCGGTACTTCTGGGAGAAGCTGCGCTACGCCATCCCCATTGAGCTGTCGCCGCGCGGCAACAACTACACTTTGGACCACCATGAGCGCTTCAAGCAGCCTGTGTCGCCGGGCATGATCTTCCGCCAGGCTCCACCGCCGCCGGCCTACTACTGTACCGAGGACATGGAGGCCAACTACAGCTCGGCCACCACGGCCACGCCCTCGCCAAGGCCCACTCGCCCAGGCGGCGCCGCCCGCATCGTGGACTCCATGCCCATGCCCATGCGCCCGCCCTCGGAGCACATCTACCACAGCATCGAGTCGGAGTACAGTGCCTACGACCAGCACGAGGCGCTGTCCATGATTCCCACGGGTCTGATGCACCAGCACCAGCAGCAGCAGTTGCGCCTGCACCAGCAACAGCAGCAGCAACAGCGCTTGCTGCAGCCGCAGTTCCGGGCCATGCCGCAGCAGGCGATGCCTCCGGTGGCCTCGGCTCCGGTGCACCTGCGCAGTGGCAGCGGCCTCAGCCAGGCCAGCACCAGCACCCAATCGACGGCCCAGGCCTCCACATCCGCAGCAGCGGCACAGCAGCAGCAGCAGCAACAGCAGCAGCAACAGGCAGCTGGCAACAGTGAAGCGGCCAATAAGAACGGCCAGGCCTTCCTGGTCTAAAAACTCCCCAATGCCATCGGGGTTCTTCGCGGCGCAGGAGCGGCCATCTTGAAGCTGATCGCTCACTGGCGCAAAAGGACTCGGGAGGAGGAAGCAGCAGGAACAGGACGCGCACACAAACACATACACACATCCAAAACAAAAAGACTTTTTCGTAGGCATTTTTTTTTGTGAAGCATTTCGCCCTTGGATGTTGTGGTTGTTGACGTTTCGTAGTTGTGTAGCACTGCCAAAAAGAAAAGAAAACAAAAAAGAAGTAAAAGAAACACGCACAAGACACACGCCCACAACACATTCATATATACGAGCATATAGGAATACATTATATAATTACCATAAACGTAAACAAACAATTACTAGAAATGTTGCAGAAACACTTTCAAATTCAATGTGATATATTAATTAACTATAATTAAATCGGCACATGCGAATATGCCCCTAACTGTAATGCGTAGACCTATGTAGTAGTTCTAGCCAGGCGTAAAGAACGTAAACCTAAAACTAAACTAAACTATTGTTAACTACAACTTAAAGTAATCCACACATTCGTTCGTTGTCGATTCATTCATCCTAAGCTACGAAACAATAACTAAATGGATATTTGATAACTATTAAATGTATATAGAACAATCGCAAGGGCAACCACATTTAGAGCACTTAATGTATTTATGTATCGTACTGTATAGAGATGGCGGAGCTAAATTAATTGAATTAAATTTACTTAATGACGAAATGTATTATTAAATTAATTATTACAATTACATAAAACCAGCCAGAGGATATATCTGAGAAAATAAAAAGCAAAACATTACAAAAATATTGACAAAAATTAAATCACAACCACATTCTTACTGAACTTTGGGTTTGGGTCTGGGGCAAGAGCAAATTGTCCTTTGTGGCAATATCAAAAGGAGATGAAATTGATTAAAGTACTGTTTTCCCGAAAGGGATTCCTGCTGTGTCCTGCAACAGATGCAACTGACACCGCTCCCACAGGAAGACAAAGAGAAAATGGAAATTTATTCATTCCCATTCGGCATTTGCTCTGTGGGAATTTCAAAGGTCACAATGCAAACGTTAACTAAAACCCAAATGCATAACTGAATTGCGAAAACTAACTAAACAAAAGCCAGGCCCAAAGTTAATTGCTTGTAAATAATTGTATATAAATAAATTAATGGAAAACGCACTCAAACAAACACTTTGCATATGCCACAGCCGTTCACACACACATTCGTTTATGTAAATTATTATTTGCGAAATTATAAAACAAAATTAAACTGCGGTCCAATGCGAAAATTGTATTTCGCCCATTTGCAATTGCATAATTCTTCCTTTTGCGCCGCATTTTCATGCTTCGGCTAACCGCAACTCTATCATCAGCTAATATCCCAAAATAAAATAAAATAGTAAAATATAAAACAAAAAGGAAGGAAACAAAACCCATATAATACATTTAATTTAGACGCATGGCCGAGCAGCTACATAAATGGATTAATGTTACGAACGTTTCAGCTTTCCTAATTAGCTGCATTTCGAGCTCGCCGGACATTTAACTTTGCTGGGGAAATAAAGCAAAATGGTATAAGTTTTGGAGCATGGAAAAGCCCCAACTCTATCACCATCTTAATAATTTATGACCAGCGTTTTGGCATGTGTCAATTTTTGGTGTAGCCCTGACACTTTTTTGGCAAAGTCAGAGTCAGAGCCACAAGCCAAAGAGTCGAAACCACAAGCTCTTGCCAAAGTCGTGGCCAAAAATCGATGGATGCGCTGGTAAAAAAAACAAGCCCTTCAATTGCATACTTTATGAGTGCAAAACTTTATGTCATGTAATGCACATGCTATCGGCTGGCAAATTAAGTGTGTCAATTCGCTGGTGAAAATTGCAAAAAATTAAAGAATTTCCAAAATCCCAGCTGCAAAAGCCAAAGCAAAACAAACTAATTGAAAATCAATAAGTAGCCAAGCACAACAAAATAAGTGCAGGAAAATGAGGAAAGTCCCAGCTAGTTGCCAATTTAATGGCGAAATGGAAAGCGCACACACTCAGATACAGATAGATAAACAGAAACGGGTGGGGCCAACTGGCCAGTAGAGGTTGTTGGCTTTGGCAATTGACAACGGGACAACGGGAAAAACCCTTGACCTTTGTGGGAAAAAAAAAGATAAAAAGGCAATAGACCTTGCCAGGATGTGTCAATAGTAGTTAAACTGTCATTAAGTAAGTGATTAATCAATAAGTGTTAAAATATTAAAACATTTTGGAAAAATAAAGGGGGGTTGGTAAAAATGATTGTAGAAATTTAAATAATCATTTTAATAAACGACACTCCACCAAGAACAAAAATATTTCGAATTATTAAAAAAAAGCGTCTATGCCATTAGGTGACCACAAATGTTCCAAAGTTAAAGATCACTCAATAGTATGGTTGAAATATACGTTAAGATATTCCAAAGACACCAACTTAAGTCCAACTTCTTATAACTCTCCGACAACTCAATCAACTTCTTTAATTTGCAACATTAATATCGCATGGGTCCGGGCTACTCAACTACTGAAATCGATTTAAAGTTTTTCCGCAGCGCCACCCACCCAATGTCATTAGCCGGCACTCCCGACTTGACCAGCTCTCGTCTAACGACGCCCCAGAAAGGCGAAGTGGGTTGACGCGTTTGCAAAAATTGAACAATATTAAAAATGCATTTATGCAAATTTAATTGCACGGGCGTGCACTTGCATAAGCCGCAGTCGCAGAGCCCGAAGAAATGGATAAACGCCATTAAGTTGGCAGTGTCGGAGTCCAAGAAAATTGATTTGTTTAATAATTAAAACATGCAAACTGCATGTGTAAGGCAAATCACTTGCGGGCCATAAAAGGTATTACCTGGTTACCTGCGATATGGTCATATTCGCGGTCCATTAACCTGTTGTTCGTTCAACCTGCTGTCATAGAGGAATTTGCAATTAATGCCAGTTGACAGGGGCCGATAATCGCTCGACACACGTATATAGTGTAGGTTTACCCACGGATAACGCCGAGTAACGGGCTTGTAATGAGACCCTCTGGCATCATCTCTGCCACTATTTACCCTCACTCTATGGAAACAAATATCTATCCTGTGTGCAAAGTCAATAGAGATTTACCGCCGGGCACAAAACTAAATTTTGATTCGCCAATCTTCAATAAAAGCAGGCCGGGCGTGAGTCCAAAGCGGAAACACAAATATTTATGCTTTATTAAAAACCAAAATTAATACACTAAAACAACAACGATTATGCGTGGCATACATGAAATATCGCTGTAACTACACAAACAATCCGCCCGAAGGTTGGCTTCCCACTTTTTTGGGGGTGGCCATCTGCAACCCTCTCCGGCTTATCGGCCTTTTAGCCGGATTGCTAAGCGTACGCCAAATCAAAAAAAAATAGAAAAAGGAAAAAAAGGGTTTCATTTCTACCAAATATTTCGCATTCCCTTCCTGCCGCCCGCGTTTTTTGTTGTTTGTTAATAAAAAATGCAAACAAGGGTGGATTTGAAGGGGGAGTGGCGATGGCAGGACGAGGGCCGCTTGAAACAAAAAAACTGGTTCAGTGTGGCAGCGCAGTGCGAGGGCAATGCGATAGGTACGCCAACTATTTGCATACTCGTACAGCACTAAGCGCATAAATAGACAACTACAAAACAAGTTGGCCGACACGACGGTCGGTTGGTTGGTCGGTTGGCCACTTGGTCGAGATGACTGACTGCCGTTCGGTAGGTGGTGGCCACATAGTACGTGGGCCTGGGCCTTCGCTCAATCTGGCCAGTCTGTTCTGACCAGACCAAATTGGGCCGCAATGCTGCAGAGTTCGGCCAAACTATTGTCTGCAGCCGCCTGTTTATGCATGCGGTTTTTCGCGAACTCGAATATTTAACTATTTCGCTGGGCGACGCTTGAGTCCTTGAGCAAGCCAGAAAAGAAACAATTCAACTGGGTCCTATATATTAGTCAAGTTAAGTGGTCAATGTTACCAATATCTACGTTTCTCTAATTTAAATTGGATGACTATACTTTCCTCACATGAGTAGTTATTTAAGAAAAATCACCTTAACAGGATTTATTGCTTCACACTGAACTCAATTGTTTACATTTTTGGCACGCAGACCGGATGATTTTGAAAAAGTTTATTTTTATACCCGTTACTCGTAGAGTAAAAGGGTATATTGTATTCGTGCAAAAGTATGTAACAGGGAGAAGGAAGCGTTTCCGACCCCATAAAGTATATATATTCTTGATCAGGATCACTAACCGAGTCGATCTAGCCATGTCCGTCTGTCCGTCTGTCCGTCTGTCTGTCCGTCTGTACGTCTGTCCGTCTGTCTGTCTGTATGAACGCTGAGATCTCGGAAACTATGAAAGCTAGAAGATTGGCATTTTGCATGCAGATTTTAGGAGTTCCTACGCAGCGCAAGTTTGTTTCAAAATGGTGCCACGCCCCCTCTAACGCCCACAATCGCTTATATACGATTTTAAAAACTGTAATATTTTGGAAAAGTAAAAATGCAGTTTTATTGTGTTTATCAATACCTATCGAAATGTAGAAGAAATTTTTCAAATCGGACCATTCGTTAAAAAGTTATGCGTGATCAAAGTTTTCAATCTATATCTCCATCTCCCTCGCACTCCCTTTACCTGAGTAACGGGTATCTGATAGTCGGGGCACCCGACTATAACGTTCTCTCTTGTTTCGACCTATTGTCTTCCCCTAACTTTACCGGTAACCAATTAAACTTATAGCAGGACGAAAGGATTCGATTCTAAAGTGCAGCCTGCATCGAGCATGATATCGAAACCATTTTTTGATAAAACAAAAAAAAATTATTTTACACAGATAGTTCAAATAGTTTAAAAACGTAGTAGACTACACACAACAAAAAAACTTGGTAAAATCAACTGTAATAATTGTCAAACAGGCCCCAACCAGCGAAATTGTCAATTCTACTAAGTAAATAGCGGGACCGTAAATAACAGTTATTTGTGATTTTTATTTTAAAAAGACTACTGTGATATTTGGTTTTGAACGTCAAAAATAACGTTCTTTTTACTCTTTTTACTGTTGTCCACAAAGTAT